GAAGTCATCTTGTACCGGCTTCAATGGGATAGGAAACTTCATCTGGTCTTTATTACTACTGCTGTACACAGGGCCTCTAGGCTTTACTTTCTTTCTCTTTTTATTAGCACATATTTGTGATTCATGCAGTTTACAGTCATCTTGGGGAGTGGTTACATATACATATCACAGCTTATTTTACTTTCTTGTCTAAGGACAAGGAGTGTTATATCCTGTATCCCAAAGGTGCTATGACTCTTGGCTAAGAGTAGTGTTTCCAAAGATGGTTAAGATTGCTTCTTCTGAAATTCTAGAAAGAAATAGGACTTGTGCCATGGCAGTGTTTCCCATACTCTTCAGTTAAACCCTTGCAATACATCTAAGGGCTCATAACAAATACTTATTCCATGCATTTTATTTATTTTACAAATATACATTAATAAAATAGAATTTCATTATTTTCTGTCACTTTGGATATAGTTTTCAAAGCAGCACACTGAAACTTGCTTTTGCCCTTATAAATGAATAATTTAAAAAGCATATTTATACATTATCATTCATGCATTCTCGAGTCTTCCATTGGTGATTAGTTTCACAGCTTGAGATTGGCCTTTCATATTAAATAAGATTCCGCTAAAGCTGGAGTTAGTGTTATTAATGCTAGTAAAATTTTGTACTCATAAAATTAGATATGAACTGTTTTTAGTGCTCTGTATGAGTTATATTGAGAGAAAAGTAGCTGCTACATTATGCAGTTGGGTAATAGAAATGTCACGCAACTGGAACTTGAATATAAGAATGGGGATCATTTACCATGTAGAAGCTCTCTTTCTAAAGCATTTTATAATTAATTACTTAATTCTTCCTATAACTATCATTATACCCATTTTACAGATGAGGCAAAGGTAAGTCAGTGGATTTTCCCAACAGTACAAGAGCGTGGAACTTGGATTCAGAGCCTAGCACACCTGGCTCCAGAGTTGATACCTTCCCTATGTTGTACTCCCTCTGGAAATAGAGGTCTTATTTCTACTTATCCACCTGGCTAGTTTTTAATATTTTATGCAAGTTTGGGGACCCTCTATGCCTCAGTTTTCAGATGTAAGCTTTGCAGGATAAAATTTGTAGTTGTTTCTCATGTGAGTGAAATAAAATAATAGGAATTTTTTTTTTTTCAGAAAGTGAAATAGATAGTGCATGTTTGTTGAAAACTTTTCTTTCTTTCTTTATTTTTTCAGGACCAGAGATCAAACTCAGGGCCTTGCACTTTCCAACCAGACTCAATACCACTGAGCTACATCCCCAGCCCAACCATTTCTTATTATTTACACTTGTTACAAATTATTATTTTGAATTTAATAAATATTTAACAAGTTACTTTAAAAGAAAAGTATGTAAATTGGATTTGACTTCACATATGTCTCCGCAGGATATTAATGAAGAGACAAATACTTTATGAAAATATATAGGTTTAGTACAGTAGGAGATAAAAATTAAAGAAAGATTCGGAAGCCACCTTGAACAAAAATAAATTTAAAATTCCAGCTTACCATGAAAAATTATGTATCATATATCCTCACTCAAAAACTCATTTATAAATGTAAAGATAGAGTAGAAATAAAATGCAGGGAAATACCTTGACAAGAAAATTAGGGAAAGTAAAATGACAAATATTCTACTTGACAGTCACCTTGGTGTACAGACATTTCTCATATAAGACATTTCATTTTTACAGATTCCGAACTTGGAGTTTATGTGGTAATTGATATATAACTCAGCTATTTAGAGGTATAAAGAGTCAAATTTAAGTTTCCCTTTTAACTTTTCCTGCTACTTTATTTAAAATAAAGAAAATCAAAATGCTGAACATGAGACAATAAAAAGCTTTCTATGGAAGTTTTTCTTCACAGGGAAAAACAAATTAATGAGGATTTGTCATTTAATTTTTAATGCCTAAATTTCATTTAATGCCTAAAAGAATTAGCATAGATTCTGAAGACACCACTGGTTACCTCACTGGAGTATCTTTTTTTTTTTTTTTTCCTAATATGTGTTATCTTTTTTCCCAAGAGAGAATTCTGAGGTGTCTATAAATTACATTGTATTTATCTCTAACTGTCTTGTTTCCTGTAAGGTTATTAAAACTTGTTTCCTGTAAGGTTATTAAAATTTTCTATAGGGCAAAAAAGTTTGGAGAATTTGAAAAGGACATAAATTCTCAACACACGGAGAATCATCGTGTTGAAAGTTAAGTTGCTGAACTGAAAAAGGATGAGTTTCATCCCAGACAAAGATGAGTTTCCCGGAGTTTGTAGGCCAAGCACATCTTTGAAGCATGTCAACACTGCTTCACCCAGTTTTGTTTATGAAACATTTTCACACTTTTTTAGCTACACCTTGCAAAAGCAGCTGCTTTGTGAATTTAATTTTAGAGAAAGAAAAACTCTATGGAGGCTGGCACGATATAAAATGGTTTGCTTAGGAAGCAGACAAACACCACCGTAAAACTAAAAATGACGAAAGACGATTTTTTCTTCTTGTTTCTCTTGTAGGTCCACCTAGTTCCCAACTTTTCAGTTGTTTTTTTGTTTTTGTTTTTGTTTTTCGAGGTTCAGTACCCAGAGTTAACCTATGGATATGTTTAAGAGAAAGGCATTTTGGCTAGGAGGATCCTGGACTCGGGAGCCTTGTTTTTTTGCCTTATTGCAAGAGTCCCACTGTACTGTGAGACCCTGAGTGCTATGTAGTGGAGAAAGAGATTAATAGGTTAAGTAAATCAAGTTAATGCACATGTTCACTGATGATTGGATATTTGTCTTGGTTTTCAAGTGGGTTTGGCTTTCAAGATACACCTCATTCATATTTATTTGTTTATTTTGTCAGAAGAGGGCCATGGTGCTGGGAGAGGAAGACACTTGCTTTGAGAATTGAGATCATACATTATGTAGCCTGTGGCTGAGAGGAAACATGTATTTTAACCATGGTATATAAAATGAGATTGAAAGGCAACATAGATTTCACTAATTCTATTTATTTTCCATTTGTTTTATTTCCTAAAGGAATTGAGCTGTAGTAAATTTAGTACACTTTTGGCTTTCTGTTGCCAAACAGTAGGCTAGGAAATCACCCCATAAATGAAGTCCCTCCACCCCTTTTGTCACCACTCGTGGTGATGTATCTGAACATGAGGCTAGCTGGGTGACCTATGATACTTCAAACACTACATCCAAAATTCATGTCCTAACCCATCAGTCCATAATACTGTGTAGCAGAACTGATCTTGCTTCTCTATACTTTGCTGCATTTTTAACCTTAAAGAAAGAAATGAACAGTAAATAAATTACTGTGATGTTGGATCACTTCCCCTATTGTAATATTTTATTAATCTAGCTGTAATTTTAATTGGATAATACACATTTTCTAAAAATTAACTAGTTGTCTGTATATAATACTCTTTCTCCTTTCTCCTCACCCCACCCAAACTGGAATGTTTTATTCCTGTGCCTTGTACCAGCTGATAGCCTTTCTGCCGAGACCTCCTTTATTTATGTTATTATTTCTCTTAGTGAGTCCTTGAGAACAACAGAAGTAGATCCAACAGCCATTTTTTCAAAGGTTGTGTTGAGAGCGTGATGTCTCTTCTTATCCTCGGGGGACACATTCTAAGACCCCTAGTGGATGCCTGAAATTATGGGATAGCACCAAAACCTATATATGCTCTTTCCCATAAAACATACCTGTAATAAAGTTTAATTTATAGATTAGGCACAATAAGAGGTTAACAACAATGGCAATAAAATAATTATAATAATATACTGTAATAGAACATATTTTAAATGTATAAATTGTTGCTTTCTGGAATTTTCCATGTAACGTTTTCAGACCCCAGTTGACCGGGGATACCTGAAAATGCAGAAAATGAACATGGATTTGGCGAAACAGATGGAGTTTATTTTGTTCTGAAGCACCTGTAGAGATGTGCTGCACTGTGAATTAAGCCTTTTTGGCCAGAGTCGGTGATGGCAGAACCCATCAGTCCTATCAGGAGAAGTTCCCTGACCTCATTATTGCTAATGGATCCGTGGTAGCTCAGCCTGTTGTGAAATCTCATGTTCAGTTATGCAGAATAATGAGTAACTCAAAACTGAATATGTCTCAGCTATCATCCTTATGATAGAGCTTATACAGCTTCTTTCAAGAGTAAAATAAGATTTTAAGTAGAATGGTTCACTTTTATGTCCAAACACTAGTTCTCACCGATATTCGGACTCCTGATTTTTAAATATCTGATTTGATTTTAAAATAAGAGAAGATTGCTCTGTAACCTTATATTTCACGGATCTTTTTATAGGAAAGTGAGGACAGGTTTATTCATTTTTAAATGTTAATTTTGGAATTCTAAAAGCATGCAAATGGCATTTGTCGTTGGATTCACAAAAACTCTAGATATTCAGAGTTTGAATTATTTAAACTCCCACAACACATGCACTTTTGCTTTTCAAGCATGAGTTATAATTTAATTAAAAACTTCTGGTGCATTGCTAGCATTTTAAATATTAATATGTTCCATGGATCACTTTTGATTATCTACCGTCTTGAAATTCTTGAAGATGTCAGATTTTTAAGATTCCCAAAGTTATACTTGGAATTGTCTGTCGAGGCGAAGGGGACTGTGATAATTACATACATCCATTAGGATCAGCAGAGGAGATAAACTTCGGGGAGGCTTAATGGGCATGTCTCGGTGACAGCTAGCAAAGAGCGTTTGGCGAGATTAAGGATGGATTTGAACGTGGTTGAAAATATGCTCTCATTATGGACACCCAGTGGTAGCTGCACGACAAATGTTAAATTCCCCGAAAGAAGAGTGGCATGGCAGGGAAGCTTTGAAATCCACTGTGGCCCTCATCCAAATTATTCTCTTTCCTTTATGTCTTTCTGCTGTCAGAATCACTTTGTGATGTCCAATGCAACACCTTCCAGCTCTGAAAAGAGGTGACCTGTTGCTCTCTGGGTTACAGATTGTCCGAAGATACATCAAGGATTGGCTCGAAAGAAAGAAACCTCCTTTTGGTGCTATCAGCAGCAGCGTGCTCCTTGTGATCATCTACACCACGTTCTGTGACACGTTCTCTAACCCACATTTTGACCTGGATAAGCTCAGCCTCGTTCTCATCCTGTTCATGAGTAAGTTGGAAGATGGGGCCCTGACTACCTCCGTAGAAATGTGAAGTAATCTGTGTGCCTCAAGCACGTTTCCAATGCCAATCTCATTAGAAACTCATACGTAGTTTATAGTAATATATATTTCCTCAGTGACGGTCTTGTGTGTTTGTTCTTTAGAAAGACATCACTTATGCACTTATGATCTTAATCTCCTTTGGGGTTTTTTAAATATTCATCGCACTGTTTGTTGACTCTCAATAGTTGATGTCAGGTGGAAGAAACCTTAGTATCTGTCAAATGCCAAAATCTGATTGAGCACTCTGCCAACAATTTAGTTTAAGTTTAAACTAATATTAATCCTTATTGTGATTTAAAAGAAGGATTGATAATGTACGATACCATTATTTCACATGTATAATAATTTCATTACATGGGTTAAAATGTGAACATTTACATATTTTTAATAAAATATATCTAAAGTAATACCGCTTCATTTTAAGGAACAATAGACTGTAAGATGCCAGTAACTGCTAAGGCTCAAAAAACCAAAGACGGCTTTTATTAATATTGTAACAAAAGACAGCTTTTGTTATTAAGAATAAAGATGAGTTATTCCACAGTACTATATAACACCACATTTGTGCCATATATACTATACTTACTCATAGTATAAACCAGCTCTTTCTAAATTAAAAAATTAAAGCCGGGCATGGTGGCACACACCTGTAATCCCAGCGCTCAGGAGGCTGAGGCAGGAGGATCGCTTGTGAGTTCGAGACCAGCCTGGGCTACAGAGTGAGTTCCAGGACAGTCTGAACTACATAGTGAGACCCTGTCTCAAAAAATCAAAACAAAACGAAGAAAAATACCAAAAAAAAAATTAAAAATTAAATTACCAAATCTTAACTCAAAAAAGGTTTTTAGATTCTCACACAGAAGTAGATGTCATAGATTGTGTCTGGCAATATTGACATTAAGAACAAGTTTATTTCTACTGATTTAAATGATTCCATCCATTTAGCAGTGTGCATTTGTTCAGTGTATGCATTTTTCTGATTTCCCTTAGATTTCAGATAAAACTAAGCATATCGGTAAATATGCTGCAGATACATTGTTTTTATAGTGCTCATTAAGGTTCAATCTGTTTTTCTCTCTCTCCCTTCAGTAGTGTCTATTCAGCTGAGTTTCATGCTCTTAACCTTCATCTTCTCAACAAGGTAAGTGATTTGGTGTCTTTTGTTGATCTCCTAAGTGAGGAATTATGCTCCTTGTTTGGCCACTATGCCTCTCTACTGTCCTATTTTTTCCCTCTTGTCCTTGACTATTCTTTTTCACTCTTTGCCCCCAAAGCCGTAGTCATCTCCAGAGGATTTGTCCTTGGTCCTTGTCTCTCCTGTCCACGTCATGTGCTCAGACAGCCGCTTCACGCTGTTGATGAGATTCTGGATTATGTTTCCTTACTTAGTTATCTTCCCCTGGCTGTCTTCACAAGATCTTACCTCAAGGTACTCAGAATAGAATTAATCTTTTCCCCCTGAAACTTCTTCCTTCTCTTTTGTTTATTTACTTATTTGTAATGGAACTGCCATCCTCAGAGTTCCTCAGACTGTAATCCTTCACACGATTTTTTAAATGTCTTGCGCCTAGTTTTGTAATATTTATTCTGCTCTCTAGCCATTTCCCTGATTCAGGTTCTTGGTACCTCTTCTGTCCAGTCTACTGCAGTGTGTGTCTTACTGGTAACTCCACCTCTAGGCCCAACCATTTCATACTGCTTCCAGTGACTCTGAGTTCTAATGATCTTTCTCTTGTTCAGATATCCTCACTGGTTGGCCAGTTCCTGCAATGAAGTTAATTTCTTAACTTCATTGGCAAGGCCCTCCGGTCTAAATGCAATCTCAGAAATCACCACTGGCATTCATGCTGCCTAAGCATTAGGTTTAGGTAAAATCATTGCTATTCCCTAGAAGGACACTTTTCCTTCTCTTGCTTAGGCTGTGCTCATGCTCAAATTGGTCTCCGTGTCTTAGTGTCACTTTCCTGTTCTTAAATACAGGAATCTTCTGCTGGTATTATTTATTTAACTTTTTTTTTTTTTTTGGACAGGGTCTTGCTGTGTAGTTAGGCTGTGTAGTTAGGCTGGCCTTGAACTCACTGTGTAGCCCAGGCTGGCCTCCCGAGTGCTGGGATTACAGACATATGGCCCCATGCCTGGCATCAACAGATATTTAAGCCTTTGGTATGAGAAAGGTACCATAGTGGATGCCACAGATAAGAGCTGATTGCATGATCCTGCCTAAAGTTATAGACTAAACATGTACAGTGATAACTAAGTGTCTCTGAGTGGTGCAGTAAGCCAACCTGTGTTCCATTCTCAGAAGAAAGCAGTTCCAAAGAGCAGTAGAGCCTGGCTTCATGGGAGGGATGCAGTTGACCTGAGCAATGAAGAATGGCCACTTGTCCAGCAGAGATGCAGAGAAAGGGTTCTTGTAGGAGAAGAAGTCACGGTGTCTGTGTGGACACGTACAGAAAAGCAAGATTTAATGGGGCAGTAGTGAAGGAGGACTAAAAGTAGCACTGCTCACTGGCCAGGTGGGCTTGAGTCAGGTTGACCAGAAGACCAGTGAGTTACCACAAGGTACTGAGGAGGTATTTTGGGTACTGAGGAGTATTAGGGGGTTGAGGAGGCTTTTTGAAATCATGTCAGAGCCTGGGAGAATGGGTTGAGGCCTCATGTTAGCCCTTGGCCTATATAGCACTTAGTATAGCACTAGGCTGATTGTAAACCGTCAATAAAAATATACTGATTGATGTAATTTGAAGCATTTTCCCAGGCCTGGGGTTCTGATTTATGGAGTACAAGTAAAGCCTAGAGCCATTGAGTCATAGAGACAATGTGACTTAGTTGGGTAAGTCTGAGAGAAAGCGCTATTTTAAAGTTCTTTGTGAGAATGGCTTGTTGTCACCTTGAAAAGATGTTTGCCTTTCAGAGGTTGTTTGTTCACTGGTCCTTGTGGGGGAAGAAATAATCAGGCCTATTTATCCTATCAGATAAGCAGGATACAGAGAGCCTGTTCGTAACTGAAAAATTCCTTGAAAAGATGCAGTACTGATCAGAAACTACTGGGATTACTTCCTGAAGGGGGACAACAGGAGAGCGATGTTACAACTAGTTGAATTAAAATTAACAATTTTCAGTATGAGGTAGACTGGTCTTTCCTAGTGACCTGGGTTGGAAATCCTTTGCCACCTGATTTTGCCTTCCCTGAAATTCTGTCATGCTTTGAACTTCTTTGACCCACTGTAAGTGAACACATTCTTTGTTAAATCACAGACTATGAAAAACTGATTATCAGATTCCAAGGTAATGGGTGCACAGCCCCAAAACAAGCCACTAAAAATTAGAAATTTTTTAAAGGGAGAAAATTTTGGAGACACTTTCATCTCTGTTATTGCCAACAGTCCCCATAACTGCTAAAGCTTTTATTGGAAGAATGAAAGATGCCTGGGATGGCCCATACAGTATTTCCTATGTGGCAGAAGGGCTATATAATATTTGGCCTCTTTGCTGCTATTTTATTGATGAGGACCCAGACTTGTGGTAGTTTACTTTAGTAACTTACCTAAAATCAGATTGTAGTAGTTTAGTAACTTAGATAAAATCAGATAGTATACCTAGAATTGAAATCTATTTCCATTTGACATTTCCATTAGTATTTATTCATGATTTGCCCATTGCTCTGTTATTTTAATTACTTTTAAAATTTATAATACTTGTTTTAGTTAGAGAATTTAACTAAACAAGTGTTTAACTGAATTCTCAACCATTTCATTGAAGTTACTAAGAATTGGAATTAGAGCCCATTAATTTGTACTCTATACAGTCCCATTTTCTTTTCCTAGTTTGGGTTCTTTCCTACCTGACATTGGTGAAATTGCTATCTGTTGTATGTTGTCATTGTTTTTCCTATGCAATCCAATAGGGCTGGGGATGTAGCTCAGTGGTGCTGTGTCTGCCTGGCAAGTGCAAGGTCCTGAGTTCGATCCCTGGTACTGCAAAAAAAAAAAAAAAAAAAAAAAAACTAATCAATCCAATAAATCTAATAAGTCTAGAGGTATTTGTTTATTTGGGGTGTCAGATGGCAAAAAATCAGTCTCAGCATAGAAATCAGCCTGTTTGTTCTGCAGCATGCTATAGGATCCCAGTAATGGAAAGTCCAACTTTCTTCCCACATTCTGCTTCTCTTCACAGTTCTTAGACTTACTGTCTTGGTCTGTTACCATATCAGTGAGCATTTAAAGTAGATTTAAGAGTCAAATATCTGCCTATAAAATAGTATCAGGGTTCAAAATTCCAAAGCTGGAGCCAGACAGACATGGATTTCAGCTCTTTTTAATAACTTTGTGACTCTTGTCAGCTTCCTTATATGTAAAATTGAGACTGTAATACACCTATATTGCAGGAACATTGGAGAATTAAATGATAGGCACATAAAGTCCTCAGCATTATACACACACACACACACACACACACACACACACACACACACATATATACTGAATAAATTTTAGCTACTGTAGGATGCTTATTATTACATTAAGTAGTTTATATTATATCAAAAACTAACAAGAAAAAGGAATTAGCTATTCTAACTTTGTAATACAGCCTGTGTCAACAGTTGCCAGGAAATGTGAGTTATTCATCAAACCAAGTCAACTATCCATGGTGACCTAAGTTTTTGGCAATTTTGGGAAATGGTCAAAGATAAAGAAAAATGAGGAAACATTTAGAAAAAGCAAAAGTTGGGAATCTTTAAAAGAATATGTGGAAAACAGTTTGGTAGGCTGACAACTGGAGTAATAGAAACCTAGACTCACTAGAGTGACAGAAGAACTCCTTTAGAAAAGATAAGGAGAAAAACCAATAGTCAGATAGTTATACAGATGTGTTAATCCTGTAACCCAGTGACTCCATGGGCCTCTCACCACAGCCCTAAGAAAGGATGGTGCGGAAGGAGAAAGGGAGAGGTGGAGGGAGGGAGGGAGGGAGGAAAAGTGTACCAGACAGGCAATCTCGGTGGCAAGTCTCTACCGTCCCCAGATTAGGCAGCTAGGCCTGGGAGCTCTTGGTAACCTGCTGCAGTGCCACACAGCTAGGTACAGGTGAGGTTTCCTCCAAAAATGAGCAAAGATGAAACAACAGTACAGAGGTTGACAAAGGAAAGTATCTCCCATGTAAGTTTCCTCCTCTAAAAATAGTGGGTTTAGACAGAAGCCCCTCCGAGGACCTTTTCTGCTCCACATTCTGTGATTCTGCTAGTATAGCCTGACATGCTTTCCTCTGTGAGTAAAACAGAGGAAGGCAAAATAAATATTACGTGGAGAACATGGATTGAAAGCTTTGTCAGAGAGAATAAAAAGACCACTTGGGAAGAAAAGGAAACAAACCTCTCCAAGGAAACCACAGTGATCAAAAGAATTACAAAAACAGGATAAAAAGAAAATCAGTATTAAAAAGAGATAAGATAGAGTTAGAAGATAAATAATAATGTAATTCCTTTCAAGGGGAGCAGACGCAATGGAGATGTTCTTCACTAAAAAATAATTACAGGCATCAGTACTTAAATATAATGTTCAGGACACTGTCTTTCTGTGCGTTGTCCTGACCTTGCGCCATGAAGCCGCCCTTGACAGACAATGGCAAGAACAGGTTACTGACCGAGAGCCTCTCTCACCCATTAAATTATTTTGTAGTGGTTTTTTTTCTTGGTTTTAAAATTTTCTTTCTGAGAAGGCAAATTGGTCCCCATATTTTGGAGCAGCCTACTTCCTTGTTACGTGGCATTACGGAAACCGCTTACTCTCTCTGTGCTTCACGTTTCCCCTTGTGGAAGAAGCAGGGCCAAGGCCTTCTAAGGCTATGTTGTGAAGGAGAAAATGCTGGATGCAAAGCACTTAGAAAAGTGCTCGGTTGTGTTCACTGCCGTGACCTCTCACCATCATCGTGACAGGAGGGCTACATGGGCATCTGCTCTGCGAACTTTCCCTGTTGAGATAGAATGTGAGGATGTGGGAAAGACTGTTGCCATGTGGCTAGGGTTCGGGTTAGCCCTCTTGAAGAGGGATATGGCTTAAACTGTAAATAAACATCCCTCATGTTGCGATCATCCCTTCTACACTGATGGACTTTGTGTCAGCAGAACCGTAGAAAAATGTTCCTCTTTACCCAAGTCAGCAGGGTCCTCGTGTGGGCCTAGCTTTGGTACCCTTACCTGGAACAGGACAAGCAAGCTGACCCTGTAAGTATCCTCTCTTGCCACACTCTAAGTGTTACTCTAGTGGGTGACAGCACCAGATCCACCAAGTCAGAGCCCCATCGAGAGACTTTGACACACTGGAAATGTGCAAAGATCTTGACAACAGCAAGTTCAAGTAGAACCAAGTTCACTAGAGGAGAAGTACTCTGCCAGACTCTCCAGGAAGAAAACTGAACTGTGTAAATCCAGATGTGACCATGACTGGTTATAACCAAAGGTAGCAAAACACAGAAGAGGTGTCAGCGTAACTGACCCCACAAGCCTTTCTGGGGATCATCCCCACACTCGCTTGTACTGTGTCCTGCAGTCACAGCTGAGCCTCCCAGCTGCACAATTCACTGTGACTTGACTGTGCCACAGTCCCCAGGTGGCCTGTTTCAAACTTCTCTAATTTCTTTAGGTCCCAGGCCTTAGCATCACCTCAGACTCCACGGATAAGTAAAATGCCTCACACTTTACAATAAGGATAAAAACTTTCACTGAAGTTGCCCCTGCTTTGCCGTTCTCTACCTAGAAAATGTCCATATTCTTTACCTATCTTACCAGCTTTTGCTTCCAGTTCAGACTGTGGGAAACTTCTCTGTCCTGTCAGCCGTTAGTCACATCCTCTTGAGCCTCTCTGGGCACCTGGTTCATTGGTTATTTCTGTCTGCTGTGTCTTCACTCTCTTTGTAATCATGTTCAGATCTCCCGTGACCCTTGTCTTCTCTCCACCAGATTTATTGCGCTGCTACAAATCCAACATCCCCTCCTTGGCCTCCTCTTAGGCCCCACTGGACTCCCCCTTCCCTTCTCTGTTTCCATTAAAGCTTTCGTGTTCCTCTCGGTCCTCTGTGGTCAGAGTTTCCAATGTCTCATTCATTACCCCTCTTTTCAAACAATAACAAGGATTAAAATATCAACCGGCATGCATTCAACATTTATAATGTGCCAAATTTTCAACAAGTATCAGCATTTATCTTCACAATGACCCTGAGAGGAAGGTAGTATTATCCCCTTTATATGCGAGCGAAGGAAGATCTGGATCTACAATCACATGTGCTTGCCCCCAAAGCCTGTATCGTTGGAGGGAATGTTGCGTAGAAATTAACAGTTGACAGGTTCTGTTTATTCCAACTCTGTGTCTCTTATTCCCATCGCCTGCCCTCCTAGCTCCCTGTTTCCTTATTGGCCTTGGTTCAGTTTTATGCCATGCTGTATGATTACTTCTAAAGAACAGGTCTGATCATGTCACTCTACCATCCCAAGTCCTCCCACAGTTCCCCTTATCCCAGCTTACCAAGTCCACACTCCTGATCACAAGCCAGTGTCCCTGCACACAAATCAGCCTAAAAAAGTCTTCCCTTTGCTAGATGTCCCTTGCACCCCAGTACTGTAGTTTTACCACCCCTTACTTCCTAGAAGGCTGTCTGTGTGCTCCATCATCATCCGTGCCGCATTAGAGGTATCCTCCTCCAGTGACGAATCTGTCTCTCTGTCTCTGTCTCTGTGTGTGTCTCTCTCTCCCTGTTTCCCCGCTCCCTCTCCTTTCCAGTCCTCTCCATTGCCCTTTTCTTATTTTATGCAGAGAATTTATCTGTACTCCTTTTCTTTACTCAGCCCATGTATTTGCAGAATTACAGAGTTCCCTCCCCGTCAGGCCTACCATGAAGAACAAAGAGATAAATATATCAATCATGTGGAGCAGTATTTAAAAACCAAGAGTAACATCACAAGTACACATCTGAGAATCAAATGTAGAAACAGTAAAGCAGTCTCATTACACCCAGGTGATACACATCTGTGGAGAATCCTCACCTGAGGTGAGAAAGCAAAGATCCAGTTGATAGGAGGAAAGGGCTGGAAGGAAGATGGTTTGGAAGCTGAAATGCATGTCTTTTCAGAGTAAGGAGAGCAAGGGCCATTTACATATCCTCCTGACACCTGCACATGGGATGAGGGGGAAGAGAAGGTCCTTCTGCCCTCCAGTGAGAAGCCAACAAAGAAAACGGTGTGGAATCTCCTTAGGGACTGTTCTAAATAAGGCTTAAGACTTCTGGCAGCAGAAGTCTTCATACATGGTGATGCAGTTTCTTGGGAAATGTGGACTCTCTTTCGTTAGAGATCCTTGACTGCTGTAGATGCAGCTGCATACAATCACTTCCCAGAGCATCGTGTTTCTCTGAGCTGGGTGGTCAGAGATTAGGGCAGGGAACGAATGCACTCACTATACCATCAACCCTGGTTCTGCAGAAAGGAATAGTTTCTGAAATATGAGGGCACAATAATAATGTGGTTGTGATTCTCTAAGCCTTTATAATCTAGCATAGGAAATGAGATTATGATATCCTGCCAACTCTACTGAGCCCCAAAGCATTTAATCAATTTTGATGAAATGGAATGTTCTGTCCTGTTTAAACTGTTATAATAGTAGGACTTTGGTAAAGAGCATGAGTGTAGTACCCAGCCTTGACTTGAATCCTAGCTTTGACACTTATCAGTGATGGGCCCTGAATAAGTCAAGTGATTTCTGTGCGCCATGGTTTCCTCATCTGTAAATAAGGCAGTGTTTCCCCTACGTTGGGGGTTACTGTCTTCACACTCAGGTACAGACCTTTGAGAAGTGCCTAACACCCCAGGAGCTGCTTCAAAAGATGATAATTTAAGTTTCTTGCTACAACATCCTGTTAAGAGTATGATTGCTGCCCCAAGAATGTGTTGTTCCTGGAGAGAAGCATTGCTGGAGATAAATTAATTCTTTCAAGGTGATGATGGGTAATGTCAGGTGATAACCTAGAGACTTAGCTGAAAGCTCCTTGCTGCGTTATTTTCTCAAAGTCCTATACCACCATGGACTGGTTGTACATGTGAGTTTAGAAGACCTCCACCACACATTTTTTAAACTTTCTCCTTTCCATGGATGAATGTATCCAAAATGTTCTCTAAAAAGAAATGCAGATGCTTCTGTGCATTTTGGCCCAGAATTACTTCTGTCACCAGGATTGATCAAGGGATGTTAATGTGAAGGTAGGTACCACCACATTGTAATTTAGGATGTGTTAAATAGATTTTTTATGCAAGTATTGTTTTTACAAAATGTTTTATTCTTTTTGGTCCCTAGGAATAACTCGGGGTTTACACCAGCAGACACAGTGGCTATCATTTTCTGTTCTACACACAAATCCCTCACGTTGGGTAAGTGACCCACAGAGTTAAAGACGATATATTACCCATGTAGAATTACGTCTTAAGGTTCTGAAATGCGCAGAAGTCCATATTACATGCAGGGGGGTATTGTCCACTCTGTCAGATAAAGAATGCCAGCAAAGTGAGGACGGGTCATTGCTTTACAGTAGTTATCTGATCAAACCTATTTCTGAGGGGCTAAATCCTGTAGTATTGGGTTTAGTTTAATTGACAATCGTATTTCCAATTCTAGGAAAAACAAGAATGCAGAATTACTAGTGTTGAGCCAGGGTGGGCTGAGGAAGTCAGCGGGAGGGACTGCTGCTGAAAACATTGCTCAGGAATCTCTGAAACTGACTCTGGAGAGTTGCGCTTCTCTGGTGCGCAAAGCCAGGTGAACATAATGTTACCCTAATTGGATATTGATGTTAATTTGAAATTCATTTTCAAGTGCTACGTTTTCTAATAAAAGCACAGTATAATTAGCTTTTGCTCAATTGGATTAGCACTAAAAGTGAAATAAGTATTTATTTAATGGACAAAAATAGGTTAAGAACAAAAGTGCTGTTTTCTACTTCATTTTATCTAATTTAGTTCCATTATCCTAATAACCTCCTCGATATCCAGAATCTGCTTTTACTCATTAAAAATAATTGAATACTCAGAAACTTTATGGAAATGTACATCATTCACAGACTCCTCGGGGTACTGGGCACATTGTGGCAAAAACTCCTGTTAACAGCTTCTCTGCGTGTGGGCACTCACTTAAAAGAATGAAGAATTGTGACATTTTCTTAGCTTGTTCAGATTAAAGAAATTCCACCTATAAATGTTTTGATTCATTACGTTTTTTAGTATATTTGGGGTATACACTATGATGACACTCATCATTGGGAGTTGGACCTTTACATGATATATCTCGGTTCTTGTTTTTTTCCTCATTCCCCTGCCCTCCCTTCACCTCCTCTCTGCTTACAAAGACATTGTTTCCGTTTTTTCCTTTTCTCATATTTATTCCTTTCCCTCCTTTCATTTCCCCTACTCCTCCCACTCCCCTTTCCCCTTCCCCTTTGGACCTTTTTTTCAAACTATTTCACATTATCTATTATAAAAAGAAAATAATTCACAATTCTTTTTACTAATAATAGTTTACTAATATTAGTTCTAAATGTATTTCTCTGGTAGAGTCTTTGACAGTCTTACCAAGTTTGCAAAAATGATTTGGAAATTGGACAAGATTGTTAAGGAACGGGTGCTGTTTGCTGTCTAGGGCTTCAGATTACTTAGATAAATGAGCGGTATGTTTGTTAGGTTTTTCTTCATCATCATTATCAAGTTGAGGTTGGAAGTGCTTTGAAAGCAATGTCCATTCGTGATTTTCAGTTAACTTCCTTAATCTTAGCTTTTTTCTTTTAATCTGTGAAAGTACTTTATAAGTATCATTAAAATTAAAAATAAAATTTGTTAAGCAGCTAGCATAGCCCTTGGTGATTAATAGGCAATTCATGACAAAATGTGTGTGGTAATGATGCTGCACATAGATTGCTGTGAACTAAAAGAGATGTCTCCTTGAAGAGCTTGCTGTGCTTCCTGATGCACAGTGGGCCTTGATAAGCAGTAGCTAGTATTCATTATTATTAACTAGGTTAGTTATACTCTTTCTTTGCATAAGTAAAATGCCTCTGTATTCGATCCTTTTCTCTTTTTTGCATTTCATTTTTCTTGATCTCAGAGTTGGACTCCTTTTTCCTTTCATCTTTCTGAAAGCTGATTTTCAAACAAGCAGATCAGTGCTCTGAACACAGAAATAGTTGTTTTGCTGGAAAGGGGGTTGGAGTTTTGTTTGCTCTTATAGTGAAACAGATACTTCAATTTACCAGTGTGATATTCCAGTAAGACATTAGTGTAAATCCCTAGCTATTCATGACATGGCAGACTTAAGTTCTCTTGGAACTTTAAGATCCAAATACTTAATGTGGCCTGTTTCTTTATCTGTAAGGCTAGGGAATTTTATTTTCCACATTAATATCCTGCCATTTCTTGGTCATTCTATCCTCCCTCATGTTAGCATTTTTGCAAATGGCCTCTTTGCTGCCTCCTTGAGTGAGAGAGATCACCTTTACTTCCAAATGCACCAAGGGGCTTTTGGATGTGATTGCTGGAACAGGCTTGTTGAGCTCTATAAATTTATTGTATCCATTTTCCCAAGATCCCACGCATATTTCCCTCCACTGGAAACCTGACTACACTGGTGCAGAGGAGCTTTCTCTAGTGGCCTGAGCTACAGGCTAATCGCTGTCCTAGGGGAAGTTCTTATCTGCATGGAGTTGGAAGGATATCATGTTGAGTGTGAAAAATTCATATTCCAAAGTGCAGGAGGAAATGTCACGCAGGATATTTTCTTTCGTATCTCACACTAAAATGAAATACAACAGATTATAATATGGCCATTTGCCACTTTAAAAAGATTTTTCTCTTTTGCAATCACTGCCTTAATATTTCTTCTAAAGATTTGACCCATACATGCACATAGAGGCGTGCACATATATCAAATAGAATACATTGAGTGAAATTTATCAGTTGCGATTTATTATTATACCTTGTATTTATATTTAAGAATAAATCCCTGTAGGCCAAGTGGTATCCATATGACTAATGAATGAAAGATGAAAACTCTTGCTTAAGAAGCTTCCTGAAAATTCTCTCAATATATACCTTTGCTTTATTTTACTGTTTTTGCTTTTGCCCTGTCTCTATCCCTTCCAAGAATTTGCATCTACACACATGCTGAATTTGATTCATTGCTTTTATTAGAGCATTTGCCATTGATTGATTAGTTCTTCGTATTAGTACTTTTTCTATTGATTGATTGCAGATGAAGTGACTATTTGACCTTTAATTATGAGGCTTCCTATTGAAAATGACATTGAGCTATGGCTTCACATAATCCATCTGGAAAGCCTGACATGATGCCATTCCCTGGAGTTCATTCAGTAAGGAAGAAGGGGCTTGAAGGAAACATAGGGCTATCACTGTGCTTCATCTAAAACAGCACTGTAGGGCTTGTGTGCTGCACTGCTATAGTTTCAGCTCAGTGTTAGAGGCAATTTTATATTTTGTCAAGACCGTGTCCCTTGCGTAGATTGCCATAAACGCCATGAATTCTCCCGGATTATACTCTCAACACTTGAGTAATAATGAGAAAATAATTTACAAAGCAGAGATCGAACGACAGCTCGTATCCTAATTAAAAACGTCTCTGCATTTCATCAGGAAGAAAACCTCATCCAAGATACTTCATAGACTTTATTTATCTTTTTCTCTTCAGTATTCAAATCACTTTGCTTATGTGGAATTTCAATATATGTAGAAAACTTGCTCACTACCCCTAGAACGATAAGGTTTCAGGATTCTTGAGGTCCTTAGGTCAAGCACAGATTTACATTTTTAATGGTTTTAAGTACCAGAATGAAAGTACCTAATCTCAGAGTGTGGCAACTGACTATTGGTGGCCAAAAATGATAATCCCAATTTTTCTTACTTGCAAAATATTTCTTTTTTAAAAATGTTTAATTGACATATGTTTGTGATACATAATGAGTACACTCACCATAGAGTATTGGTTCATAAACATACTGCATCTTGATCAAATTATGCTATTTAAATTTTCAATACAGTGTCATGATCAATGCTTACTAAAAGTTCAACACATGTTTTGCCTTTTACAGGCACTTGTGATAAAAGCAAACCAAGGCATTCATTCCCTGTGTTGTTTACACTTTATTATGGATCTGTGGCCACAGCTGAACGGTGGCAAGCAACTACGCATTAAGCTAAAGTAAGGTACCTTATGGGTAAACAAAGGATTCAGGAAAGAGTTTAAAAGAACAATCCTTGATTCTGGTCTGGATTCAAATTCCAGTTCTCTCACTGAAAACTGGAAGAACTCATTTAATCTACAATTGATACTTTTGCCCTGTGAAATAATGGTTTCTCTATTATCTATGCAAAAGAAAGGTGTTCTTGAAAGGAATATTTATGTAAACAGTGTCACTAATATTGCTGCAAAGGAAATATGGCTGTTGCTGCTGCTTCCTCAAGAGGTTAGAAAAATATCTTCACATTCTCCAAAGAATGTCATAGGAGAAATAAAATCTTAAGAGATCTTTTTTATTTCAATTGGAAGCTTTCAAAGAATTAAAAGATGACCTACAACTTGGGTTGAAAACATCATTTATCAATATTTGGGTCATTTTCTCAAGATGGAATGGAACTGAAATGTAAAAGTTTATGTTTCTGATATTCTTTTTCCCCTAAGGCTGATCTGTGATCATAGTGGAATATAAAGATTATCTTCATAGAACTACTCACTAACTGGACAGCACTTTTTAAAAAGCATTTAACCCACGTTACCTAAACAACCTTGAATTATTACCAAGTCAGTAATTATCTTATTTGGATATGGAGATGTGAAAGCATAGAAAATTTTTTTGAATTTATCCCAGATCATATCACTAAGAGACACTAGTGTTCAGGCCTCTTAAGTTCAAGAAATGCAAATGGTTATATGATATGAAAGCACTCTAAAGACCAAACAAGTACTTTAGTGGTTCCAAGTGTTTTAAATGTGAGACATTGGCATATGTTTGAATTGTTGTATTAATTGTTTAAAAAGAAAATTACTTCTGAATACATTGCTGTTTTAAGACAGTTTCAAAATACTTAACATCTATAATTGTTCCCATAAACATATATTTCCATGTGGCCCAGTCAAAAATTGGCACTTGTTTCTCATACTTCTTTACTATAAACAAAAATTTATATCCTATTTTATATGGGTCTTGGCAAACCAGCCTTAACCTTTCATGAGCAACACGGTCGCACTGGCGAGTGGAAATAGAAATCCAGAAAAGAGAATCTTTGGAGTGTAGCCATAAATGTATTTCTGTCCTGCAGTTTGCCTCTGCTTAGAGTTCTGGAAGGAAAGGCAGTAGGGAGCCTCCGCCATT